GCGCCGTAGAGAATTTCGAAAATTTTATGGCAGGCGAAGGCGAGAAACAAACACAAGACAAGAAAAACGAAAAGCTTTACTACGACATAATGACTTTATTTGTGTTCAACTAAAAGGATTTGCGCTTTGGGTTTGCCAAAGACGACCTTAAACAGCGACTCAACCTCAAATATATTTTTATATGATTTTTACTCCAGGAGTTTTATGAAAACTGGATGCTTAACTGCATATAAACAAATACAATGAAATCATAATTTGTTATTTGAATGCATGGCGCACGACCCAAATGTGTCATGAAACGTTCAGCTTAATGGAATTTTCCATAAAATGTGCTCATAGCGATCTTTGAATAACGTCGAGACAAGAGCGAACATGTGGCGCGAATCAAGATAAGAATATGAATAAATAAATTAAGTATTTGTCCGCACAAAAGGGTAGCTCCTACGCACAAAGACCAATCAAATAATAGGTATGAAAATGGATTCGTTCGGCTTCCAAACAAGCTTACAATTAATAGCGGGCTCCACGAGACAGTAAAAGTACTAAAAAAAAACAGACGCTGCTAGCAAATATGGATTTCCCGTTCTGTTATCATCTTGGGCAACCATTGACTTAAGATTCATCCAAGGAGAGAGATTCATCCTTTCTTATACGTCTTGGCAAGAGGGAAAAGTCATCTATCATCAGAAAATCGGAAAAAGTTAGTCGATGGCTAGTGATGGATTTATTTTTGAAAGTTATGCAGTCTACAAGATGCGTTCTAATGTAAATGAACTGTCTGCGCTCGAAAGATACGTGCAGCTCGGAAGCTCTATTAGAACCTGAATTATTGCGTTGTAAGTAACGTGTGCGTCATTGCTGCAGGTCATTTAGATGACCTCGAAGTCGATAGGCACCGCCGTTACAAAGCGCTATTTTGAAAAGTTGCGTTTATCTTTCAATTTCTCCAATTATATGCTAGTTCTCGGTTCAGATCTACACGGAGAACTAAACTAAGCTTTTTAGAGATAAGGGTGCAAAGGATTCGGTTCAAGCCGAAGAATAATATCTTTTCTGTTTGTTGCTTAACAAAAATTACATTTCTTATTTCAATATGCACAAAGAAATCTACGCGAATAATTTGTTTAATAATAAATAGTCTAAAAAGTATTGAACTTAATATCATGCTCTAGAAACAACGCCATTCATTTCGTACTTCCTCTGCACATAGGCATAGATTCGGATGAATGATATGAATGCATGAATTTTTATCTCTTGAAGGTTGCAAATTTTTAATACTCCATAGACCTGTTATATGTATATGTATATGTGAGCATGTATATATATATATATATATATATATGCGTAAGTTTATGGTAGTTTATTTTAATTAAATTATGAAAATTCAATTTCTGCTTACATTCATATCTTTATGAATTTCTTCGCTCAGTTCAGCAAACAAGCAGGAAAAAAAAAAAAAAAAATTGCAATTTCATAAACCGGAGATTATGCTCTAATTAACAAATATATAGAAGACGGCATTCTTTCGCCAAAAATAAACAAAAAAAAAAACATAGACTGAAAAGTAAAAATGTATGAAGAAAGGAAGAAAGAAAGCTCTTTCGGGATTGCATAACTCTTTTTTTTTTTTTTTTAAGTTTACAAATATGATGAAATAAAATTCATTTCACTTCCCGCTGTAGCTATCCACACATTTACGTAATATGATGAAATAATAATCTTAGATTGATGTGTTTTCGATGTAGAAGAGAAAATAAAACATCTTCACTTTGCATCAACCACATGTATAATGCATATATGCATAACATATAGCTATGTATGGTTTTTATATCACATGAAATCAGTCAACCATAATGATAAGTTAGTAGTAAAACTAATTAACGAACTGACTGACTGACTGAGTGAAAACGATGACTGCATTATTGCATGATAAGATAAATGTAAATGTACGAAAAACGCATACATACATATATATGCATGCGAAAATTGAATACACATATATATGTAAATATATATATATGTGATATTGTTAAACATCTTAAAACATGTTTGTTATATTGTAAGCTGCTTTCAAATGTTTTAAGATGTGTGTGTGTGTGTGTGTGTGTGCGATGTGTAATAGTCATTTCAATCTTTCGAGAACCTGTGCTGGCACAGTAGCGGCGCTTGCAAGTCTTCCATATCCAAGTCGACCTGATATCATTAATGATCATGCAGCAACTTGCACCAAGTTGCACATAGAAAGTGTGCATATTGCTTAGAATTCCTTTAAGAAGCCTGTAACCGTTTTTTCTTTTTTGTTTAGTATCCCGCCACGGAAATTTTTCAATCGCCAATGGTTAATACGATACGATCAACTTATTTTCACACTCAAGTGATATTTTTGCTGCCCACACTATTAAAAAGTAGTTTCTCACTTTTCATCTCTCGCATATTTCAGTCATTTTCTTGTAGAAATTCGCAAACTGAAGATCGAATTTTGCTCATTTTCTGCTCGTTTTCAGCTTGTCTTTCCTTTCGTGAGATTTTATAAAAAATATATTTTCTTACTTATATTCCTTACGCTTAGTAAGTCCGATCGATTCCCGGGCTGTGGAATGCCACTGAGGTAAAAAGTTAGAGCTTATGATACATATTCTCGACTGAATGCTTGAACACATATTCTCGACTGAGGTTTGAACTTGATCGATCTGTGTTAATGCTCATGCAATGCGAAAAAGTATTATTCAGCACTCAGAGGATGTAGTGAACCCAAACTAAAGGCAAGATATCAAAAAGCTAACCTCAAAAAATTTTACTTACAGACTTGATTGATTACAAATTGATATTGAAGAGGACGATGGTATCTCATTTTGGTCTTCCACGTACTATATCAGTCAGAAAGGGTATGTAATGTTTTTTTTTTTTTTTTTTTTTGCCTATTAGGTCTATTGCGTAAGGCAATAAAAATAGGATGCAGGATGTGGCAATCCTACTCGATATCAGTGGCAAAGTTTGAACTGCCTGTTTCGAAAGAAAGAAAAAGTGAGTTGAAGATTCCAGCTCCCTCTCTCTCTCTCTCTCTCTCTCTCTCTCTCTCTCTCTCTCTCTCTCTC